GTTTTCAGATATCTGTATAAGTCATAAATCTTAGTTACAAAGCCGACTTTATATATGACTTCTGAGTTCATTCTCTCTGGTATTCTAAACAAACACACACACACACACACACACACACACACACCATGTCTTCTGTTTGGCTTTAACTTGGTAAACCATTTCCAGAGGTCATCAGCCACTGGAATCAGTTAACAACATGGCCATTCCTTCTTATTTCACGAGGTCCCGGAGAAACCACTCTTTATGTTCCACTCAAGGTATTCTGACCACATGGTTTTCTTTTTCTTTTTCTTTTCACTCTCTAACCCTAGAAATCCCATGGGATGAGGAACCCATTTTGAGAAATGTGTCACAGCAACTTTTGAAATGTAGGAAACCAAGCAATTAGTGTCAGATTTTCCCTTGGGGGAAAAAAGATGAGAAAGGTTAATATATACTACAGAGGTAATTCAAGGAGGTTCCGTACTAGTGGTACATTGCATAGATGATAATTTTTGATAAAGCAGCAATCTTCTATGGGAATGATTTATGCCATCTTTGAGTCATTAATAGTATATGACACTGGTTTCTACTCAGAGCTAAAACAAATCATCATAAAGTTTTGTTGTTGTGGTTGCTCTTGTGTCAGGTATATTTCAAAAGCTTTTGAATTTATAAAGTGTCTTTGGAAATTTACAGGAATGAAGTTTACCAAATGTAGTACATTTAATAGGAAAACCAAATCAAACTCAGATGTAATCTCAAGGTGTTTTTGTGGATTTCATATCCCTAGTCTTTTCAGAGGCTCATTGGTTTCTTTTTCTGTGATGTGAATTTAATTGGTTTCAGTATAGGTTTAAATTCAATAAACATGTGATTACCCACCATGTGGGAAGCAGTACAGTAGGTGCAATCACAGGCTATGTTCATGTATTCCTTACACACACCCCATGAGAAATTATCCCATTTTTTTCAGATAAAGTCTCATAAAAACTATGATTCGTCCATGTTTATGGGACTAATCAGTGGCATAATAGGGATTATAAATCAGGTTATTTTATCCTTAAATCTATTATACTTTCCAATAAAATTATAAGGAGAAAATCTTGAAAGTGCTACCTTGTCCACATTCTTTTGACTGGTGGAAGATCAACAGTCTGATTCGTCAAAGGAAGATTCTGATGCTGACTCATTAAAGGAAGATGATGCAATGTGTTGGTTAATGCCATGACTTTGGAGTCAGGCCAACACAGGGATGAACCCTGGCTCTTCAGCTGTGAAGAAATAACATAACCTTGAATAAAGTACTTTGGGTTTTAACTTCCAAGCCACAGTTTCTTTATCTACCAAATAATAGTAATACAACATTTCAGAGTTGAAATTATAATTGAGTACAATACTGAATGTAGAGCATTTAGCAGAGCACCTGGCAAATTGTACATATTTTTGGTAGTTATTATTCATAGTAATGGTAGTGAGATAGGAAGATAATATACAAATTGGCTAAAGAAAGATTTTTATTATTGTGTTCAGGGACATATGAGGACTTATTAATAAAATTATATTGATCTCACTGAAGATTTTTAGTGATAAACAGCCCTCATGTGGTATTTGTAACTTTAGGTGATGCTTTTTAAGATATTTTAAAATTTGGAGCCAGAGGAGAACATTTTCAAATTATGCCCATATTTTGATTACTGTTGCTAATGGAATGGGAATAGTGGCATGAATAAATTCTAGACACATAGAGTCCCTTGCCCTCTTTAAAAAAATTTATACAAAAATAATTATATTCTTTGAGTCATAAAAAAATTCTACAACTGCTATACAGTGGTTATGCAACTATTTTGACAGGCTTTTAGAACAATTTCTCCCCTTGAAAATTGTTCACTTTCTACTAGAGTTAATGTTTAGCACAATAAGTCAGAACTTTATCTGTAAGCCAGGAGAAATTAATTTGGTTTTCATTATATGTAGATAAATTAATTTTATTAAAGTTAATTTAAAAATTATATAATTGTGGCAGAGAGGTTTGGCCTTTAAAAACCTTCTTGGTACAAGGAGTCTAGATTGGGAGTATACAAAATCAGTCTTCAGTTACACGGGTATACACCCATGTATACAATTAAGATTGATTATATTAAAACAAGCTGAAGTTTTCCCAAATTTAGATATAATCATAGAGTTTCATTTATATTGTCTAGACTTCTCCACATAGACTTGGTCAAAATACATCAAAGTGTTTAAAGTGATAACCTTGTATATTTGTCTATATACTATGAGGTTGACAAAATACAAAGAACTTGTGCAAAAACCAGAATCTTAAATATAGACTCTTTGCAGAGTTGACTTTTCATGAGAATGAAATAGATAAATGTAAGAATGGTTTATCCTTTTATGAAAAGCTAAATTTCTGTTACTGGGAACTGAATTAAAAATGTTATGTGCTCTTTTTAAACTACCAAAACTGAAACAGGAAGAAATAGAAAACCTGAACAGACCCATAACCAGCAAGGAAATTGAAGCAGTAATCAAAAATCTCCCAACAAAGGAGAGTCCAGGGTTGAATGGCTTCCCAGGGGAATTCTACCAAACATTTAAAGAAGAACTAATGCCTATTCTTCTGAAGCTGTTTCAAAAGATAGAAGGGAAGGAAAACTTCCAAATTCATTCTATGAGGCCAGCACTACCTTGATCCCAAAAGTAGACAAAGACCCCACCAAAAAGGAGAATTACAGACCAATATCCCTGACAGATATGGATGCCAAAATTCTCACCAAGAAACTAGCCAATAGGATCCAACAGTACATTAAAAGGATTATTCACCAGGACCAAGTGGGATTTATTCTGGGGATGCAAGGGTGGTTCAACATTCGCAAATCAATCAATGTGATAGATCACATTAATAAAAGAAAAGACAAGAAACATATGATCCTCTCAACTGATACAGAAGAAGCATTTGACAAAGTACAGCATCCTTTCTTGGTTAAAACTCTCCACAGTGTAGGGATAGAGGGAATGTACCTCAATATCATAAAAATCATCTACAAAAAGCCCACAGCACATATAATTCTTAATGGGGAAAAACTGAAAGCTTTTCCCCTAAGGTCAGGAACATGGCAGGTATGTCCACTCTCACCACTGTTGTTCAACATAGTACTAGAAGTCCTAGCCTCAGCAGACAACAAAAAGAAATGCAAGGCATTCAGATTGGCAAAAAAGAGTCAAACTCTCACTCTTCTCAGATGACATGATAGTTTATGTGGAAAACCCAAAAGATTCCACCCCAAAATTGCTAGAACTCATATAAGAATTCAGCAACGTGGCAGGATATAAAATCAATGCACAGAAATCAGTTGCATTTCCATACACTAACAAGGAGACAGAAGAAAGAGAAATTAAGGAATCGATTCCATTTGCAATTGCACCAAAAACCATAAGATACCTAGGAATAAACCTAACCAAAGAGGTAAAGGGTCTATATTCTAAAAACTACAGAATACTTATGAAAGAAATCAAGGAAGATACAAAGAAATGGAAAAACATTCCATGGTCATGGATTGGAAGAATATTGTTAAAATGTCTATGCTACCTAGAGCAAACTACACATTCAATGCAATCCCTATCAAAATACCATCAAAGTTTTTCACAGAGCTGGAACAAATAATCCTAATATTTGTATGGAATCACAAAAGACCCCGAATAGCCAGAAGAATGTTGAAAAAGAAAACCAAAGCTGGTGGCATTACAATGGCAGACTTCAAGCTCTATTACAAAGCTGTAATCATTGAGATAGTATGGTATGGGCATAAAAACAGACACATAGATCAACGGAACAGAATAGAGAGCACAGAAATGGACCCTCAACTCTATGGTCAACTAATCTTCGACAAAGCACAAAAGAATCCAATGGAAAAAGGACAGTGTCTTCAAAAAATGGTGCTAGGAAAATTGGACAGCCACATACAGACGAGTGAAACTGGGCCATTTTCTTACACCATACCCAAAGATAAACTCAAAATGGATGAAGGACCTAAATGTGAGACAGGAATCCATCAAAATACTTGAGGACAACACAGGCGGCAACCTCTTTGACCTTGGCCACGGCAACTTCTTGCTAGACACGTCTCCAAAGGCAAGGGAAACAAAAACAAAACTGAACGATTGGGACTTCGGCTTTTGCATAGCAAAGGAAACAGTCAACAAAACTAAAAGGCATCCTATGGAATGGGAGAAGATATTTGCAAATGACATATCAGATGAAGGACTAGTATCCACGATCTATAAGGAACTACCAAACTCAACACCCAAAAAACATAATCCAGTCAAGAAATGGGCAGAAGATATGAACAGACATTTCTCCAAAGAAGACATCCAAATGGCCAACAGACACATGAAAAAGTGCTCAATATCACTAGCCATCAGGGAAATACAAATCAAAACCACAATGAGATATTACCTCACACCAGTGAGAATGGCTAAAATTAACAAGTCAGGAAATGACAGATGTTGGCAATAAAAGAAATAACGCAGAGATCATAGGGGAAGGGAGGGAAAACTGAATGGGAAGTCATTGGAGAGGAAGAAAAACCATGAGAGACTCTTAACTATAGGAAACAAACAGGATTGCTGGGGTGGTGGGGGGATGGGGTAACTGGGTGATGGGCATTAAGGAGGGCATGTGATGTGATGAGCACTGGGTGTTATGTGCAACCGATGAATTATTGAATGCTACATCTGAAACTAATGATATATTGTATATTGGCTAATTGAATTTAAATAAAAAATGATATGTGCTCTTTTAAAGAAATCTCCTTTTGTAAATATAAAGAGGCAATGTGTATGTGTGTGTATGTGTGTGTGCTAGTTTATTCGTACCACTGTCACCTAATTAATAATTGTCCTTTTAACTAAGCAGTGAGTGTTAAGGCTTTAACATTTAAGTCTTCAACAGATGATCTATTTTGTAGCAAAAACCTCTCAAATTCAAATTATAATCCCATTTTCATTTCTTTTCTCAGATGATGAAACATGCTTGGAATAATTATAAACGGTATGCCTGGGGATTAAATGAACTGAAACCTATATCAAAAGAAGGCCATTCGAGCAGTTTGTTTGGTGAGTAGAATGTGCTTTGGTTTCCTAGTGACAGTAACTTTTCTCCAGTTGCCAGAACTTGTGGGTGGTGATGTTTGTATGCCCCTCCTGGCCATGTTGCTAGGAAACTTGCATACCTGATGGGAGTTACCTGCAAGGACTGTGCATAGTGTGTCCTTCAGACAGAGCACTTTACATTAGAAAAAGAGCACATAGAATCACTTGCGTCCCTTGAAAAAAATACTAATGCCTGGGAACACTTCCAAAGATTCTTATTTAATGGATATAGGCACAGCATCATGAGTTTTAGCTCCACGGGTGAGACCCAGCTGAGGAGCATTTGGTCAGCCCCATTAACTGCTTCCTGTCAGGTAAAAGTAGTGTCTTTATTGATAAGCGGGCCAAGGCAGCCTGCATGGTGATCTTCACTGTATCTTGGTGACTCTCGACTTTAGCTCTGGGTTTCTCCTGTTTGTGCCATGGAAGAGAAAGTGAGAATGGATTAGGTCAGTTATTTGAACTTCCATTTATCGACTTTGGCATGCTTTATTGCATTTGGTCCTCACAGCATGCCTTGGTGATTGGTCCTGGGGGTGTTAATAACATTCCCATTGTGGAGGTGAGGAAGCTAGGTAACAGAAATGTTGGGTTCCTTGGGTCACAGAGGTACCCGGTGCCCTTCTTATCGCAGTGGATTCTTTTTTAACCAGCACAATTTTGCCTATAAGTAAGAGGATGAAGGGGATAGAGTCATTCTGACACTTCTTAATTCCCCATAGAAAATGTGACTTTTTATACTGTAACTGAAGATGTTAAATAGTATCAAATCATATAACAAACAACAGTATCAACTGACATTATGTGCCAAGTGCCAATTGTTGGACATCTCACTTAACCTCATTATTATACACATTTTATAGATGAGAAAAATGCAGCTCAGAATAGCTTGCCTCGTATTAGCCACATACTAACTGAGCTGGGGCCAGAACCCAGGTGTGGCTAAGGTCAGAGTCCATGGTCCTAATCACCACACTATGCTTTTCCCTTTATTCAGGATCTTCCATGTGTTTGGCTCTCCTTCCAGCATTGGTATTAATCAACACAGTACAAGTCTTTGCAGAGTTCCTGGCCTAGTGCAGAAGACCTGTGTGTATATAGTTGTCAACGCATTAGATGGTTCAGTAGATATTCATCTTTCAAGTGCAGATATTCATATGAAGTAGGAACTTAGGTAGGGAGTAGGGAATTATAAGGACAGTTAGGAGGAACTGGCAGAGTGGAAGAAAGGCTGGTGGGCCTATTCGGGTGACACAGTTTAGAGATGAAGAGAGCCCAAACCTGGAGTAGTGGCAGTAGAAGTGATTTCAGATGTTTTTATAAAGTAGTGTTTTCAGTAAGCATGGGTGGTAAGACATAGGAATTGAAGACAAATTCAGAAACTTCATACAGACTGAGAAGCTTTTAGTTTTTCATTATTTACTATAACTTTTTAAAATCTAATTCTGTTTTTGCCTTTATCTCTATGAAAGTTGCTTGTATCGTTAATAATTCAGTTTTGTGTAAATTTGTCATAATCTGTATCAAAGAGATTATTTGGTTCTCTGTTAATATGTTGATGATTTTTTAAATTATTATTAAGCATTGAAACATACTAAGTCTCTTAGTATGGAATGTGTAGATGAAGAAGACATGACTTCTCCATTCTGAGGAAGTTTGCAGACTAAAAGAGATGCACACAAGTAATTACACTGAAAGGCAGAAAGTGATAAGTGCAAGACCAGTGTAAAATCGTCACGTCAAGGGGGTTCGGAGGAAATGAATCATAGAGTCAAGATGGGCTGGGTGGGTAGGAGGGGAGGTTAGGGTCAGTCAGGCTTTCAAAGAGGGGGTGAATTCCATTTTTGAATAATGGCTTATTAGAGCTATCATACTTTTAGATCTAATTATATTTAAAAGTTTTGCACAGGTACACTTGGATGTGATTACACTAAAATTATTGTGTATTGCTCCTTTGTTTCAGATCTATTTTTTTCTTGCTAGAGAATGCAGTCACAAATGAAATTTCTAAGAGATATTTTCTACAGCTCAGAAGAAGCTTTAAAGATTAGTGTATCAGTCCATAGCCTGTGATAATTATTAGCTGGATTTTAATGCAGCTTTTAAATTTTCTTTCAGTGAAAATTTTAGACTGTGTTCAGTATTACTGTTCATTAATAAATTCAGTATTATCGTCTTTCTCTCCCTTTCCAGGTATGGTCAATTTGCTTGTATGTCTCTGTCAAATATTTTAATCAATAAATATTTTTCTGATATTTTCAGGTAGTATTAAAGGAGCAACAATAGTAGATGCCCTGGATACACTTTTTATAATGGAAATGAAAGATGAATTTGAAGAGGCAAAATCATGGGTTGAAGAAAATCTAGATTTTAATGTGGTGAGTTAAACAAAAGCTGCCAATTCAGTTCTTAAGTCTCAGCTTAACACGGACAAACTCTGTTGTGGGGCCAATTCTTGTGTTATATGACCGAGCAGAAACAAATAATGCAATTTTAAATAGTACCACACTATATTCTTGCCCTCCATTACTACACAAGTACGTCTTTGGGGGGTTTTTTTGGCATAATTAAGAGTAAGGAAAAGAAATTAAAATTTATCGAGACCTTCCTGTTCAAGTCTCACAACCATCCTATGAGATGGGCATTGTTTTCCTGCCTGCGCGGTTTAGAAACCGAAGCTTCAGAGGCTTAGCCAGATGACAGCTAGTTGCGTGGTAGGGCTGTGAGTCCGGCACACATCTGTGTGGTAACACACAGGTCCTGTTTTGCACCGTGTCAGGGCACATCGTTTTGATTTTGTTCAGTGGAGCACAAGGTGCCAGGTGATGAGATACGGTTCAACAAAAGACCACAGAGAAATTAAAATAGAGAAGTTTATCAGTCACAGGTCCTGAGGAGGTACGCAGCAGCCTCCCGGGGCCACACAGAGACGTCAAGGCAGAGGGGACCTGGGGTACATGCCCTTATTAGGGTGGGTGTAGTCCTTTGGGGCCCTAGGCTAAGGCCAGAATGGTCAAATCAAACCAAAAAGAGCGGAGGTTTTGGTTGAGCGCCACAGGGGTCTTTTCTAAGGAGTGCACAAGGGAGAAAGGCCCTGGGAGGCAAGGGAGACTGTTGATCACAAGGGTGAATGGGGGGGGGCGGGGAATCACATCAGGGACTTGCATTTGCTTGTGCTTCTGCGGGCTGTTCTGCAGGACATGTGCTTGCATGAAGAGGGAGCTAGCGTTGTTGGAGGGCCCCTACAGGCCACTCGAACGCTGATGCAGCAATACCGTGGGGACACTCCGCTAACCTCTCAACACGCATCCAACAGCAGCGGCATCCACTCTCGCACATATATGGCTTCAGCCTTTGTTCACTGTATACCCTTCAGTGTATAAAATTCTGTCACTGTGTATTTGAAGTCTTAAAAAAATCTTTGTATGTGTACTCTCATTCTTAACAAATACTTCAAAACCTATTATACACTAATGAAAAGGTTCAGAATTTAGGAGACTGGACACTCACAGTGCTTCTTGATAATTTTGATTTGGGAGGACAACGTCATGTCAGAGCTAATCTAATGTCACTATTTTACCTCATATAATGAGGCTGACCAAAAAACTTGTTTTAAGAAAAGAAAGAGTGTTGGCCCAGCTGTTTTTTAGTCATTCACTAATTTTGCATTATTGGTATTATTTTTAATCTGGGATTCTTTCACAGAAAAGTAAGCCTCTTGTCCATCTGGTATGCATCCGATACCTGTAAATCCCCATAACCAGGCACAAGCAACATGCTGTATGTTGAGAATGGACAAAGAAAGAGTGTTTCCCTGTCAACGCCCCTACTTATGGAGCTCTTTTCTCCCACAGACCCAGTGAGGATACCAGTGTCGGAATATTAAAGATCAGTAAAACTAAATGTTTTTCCTAACTCTTTGCATTAAAAACCTGTATAAATTAAAAGTTTGAATATTTTGTCCCAACCCTCTTATTAATTGCCTTGTATGCCCCATTTTGGAGATCACTGCCTTAAAGGACAATTAGATAAGTCTATGTTTAATCTGCCTTATAATTGAATTGAGAATATAAAGAAGACATATTCCAATATAAAGGGACCTTGGAGATCAATGTGTTCGGCTCTTTCATTTTAAAAATGAGAAAACAGACCCAGGGAGCTGGTGGTTTCCTCAAGGTTCTATAGCTATTTGATTGGAATGACTTGTGGTAGCTCTAATATTATCAATAGAATGGTGTATGAAAAATTAAAGCAATGAAAAAAGAAATTGTTTCTTTTTGAGAATTTGTTGTCTCTTACTAATATTTCTGTCCCACCTTGTTACGTATAAGTAAATTCAGCTACCTACCTTTAAATAGGGCTTGTCTTCAGCTGTCTGTGGGAGAGAAAATGGGTAGTGGGTTCTCTCCCCACAGCCTTTTTAAAAAAGGTTGGGGGAATAGGAACTGGAGTCCTCCTAAATCAAATAATTTTTTTTCTATTGTGAACCAGTATTTGTTTGTTTCTTTGTTTCTTTAATTCAAGTACAATTAACAGGGTTATATTAGTTTTGAGTGTACAATATAGTGATTGAACAATTCTATATATTTCTCAGTGCTCATCAAGATAAATATATTCTTAATCCCCTTTACTATTTCATCCTCCCACCCCCTTCCCTTGTGTTAACACCAGTTCTCTGTATTTAAAAGTCTGGGTTTTTTTGGGGGGGAGGGTTCTTTTCTCTTGGTTTCTTTTTTCTTTCTTTTGTTTCTTAAATTTCCACATATGAGTGAGATCATATGGTATTAGTCTTCCTCTGACTTATTTCACTTAGCATTTTACCCTCTAGGTCCATCCGTGTTGTCGCAAATGGCAAGATTTCATTTTTTTATGACTGGGTAATATTCCAAGTGTAAACATCACATCTTCTACATCTCTTCATCTATCAGTGGTCACTTGGGTTGTTTCCATGTCTTGGCTATTGTAAATAATGCTGCAGTAAACATAGGGGTGCACATATCTTCAAATCAGTGTATCATTTTCTTTGGGTAAATACCCAGTAGTGAAATTATTGGATCATATGGTAATTCTATTTTTAAGTTTTAGAGGAACCTTCATACTGTTTTCCACGGTGGCTGCACCAATTTGCATTCCCACCAACAGTGCACAAGTGTTCCTTTTTCTCCACATCCTTGCCAGCACTTGTTATTTCTTGTGTATTGTGCCATTCTGACAGGTGTAAAGTGATATCTCATGTGATTTTAATTTGCATTTCCCTGATGATGAGTGTTGTTGAACATCTTTTCATGTGTCCGTTGGCCAGCTGTGTCTTTTTTGGAAAAATGTCTATTCAGGTCCTCTGCCCATTTTTTAATCAGATTGGTTTTTTGGTCTTAAACTGTAAAAGTTCTTTGTATATTTTGGATATTAACCCCTTATGACATATGTCGTTTGCAAATATCTTCTCCCATTCGGTAGGTTGCCTTTTCATTTTGTTGATGGTTTCATTTGCTGTGCAGCAGTTTTTTACTTTGGTGTAGTCTCAATCCTTTCACTTTGCTTTTGTTTCCCTTGTCTGAGGGAATGTTTCTACAGCCAATGTTGAAGAAATTACAGCCTACGTTTTCTTCTAGGAATTTTATGGTTTCAGGTCTCACATGTAGGTCTTTAATCCATTTTGAGTTTATTTTTGTGTATGGTATAGGAAAGTGGTCCAGTTTCATGCTTTTGCATGTAGCTGTCCAGTTTTCCCAAAACCATGTGTTGAACACTGTCTTTTCCCCATTGCATATTCTTGCCTCATCATAGATTAATTGACCAAATAAGCGTGTGTTTATTTCTGGGCTCTCTATTCTGTTCCATTGATCTATGTGTCTGTTTCTGTGCCGGTACCATACCATTTTGATTACTACAGCTTTGTAGTATGTCTTGAAATCTGGGATTGTTAGGCTGCCAGCTTTGTTCCTTTTCAAGATCGCTTTGGCTATTTGGGGGCCTTTCTGGTTCCATTCAAATTTTAGGATTATTTGTGCTACTTCTGTGAAAAATGTTGATATTTTGATAGGGCTTTCATTAAATCTATAGATTGTTTTGGGTAGTATGGACATTTTAGTAGTATTGCCTCTTCCAATCCATGAGCATGGAATATCTTTCCATTTGTTTGTGTCATCTTCAATTTCTTGGACCACTGTCTTAGTTTTCAGAGTATAGATAGGTCTTTCACCTCCTTGGCTGTTTATTCCTAGGTATTTTATTATTTTTAGTGCTACTGTAAATGGGATTGTTTTCTTAATTTCTCTTTTGCTGCTTCATTGTTAATGTATAGAAATGCAACAGATTTCTGTATATTAATCTGTATCCTGCATCTTTACTGCACTCATTTATCTAAAGTTGAATGATTGAAGACAGGAAAGTAGATGTTAGTGCTACTAGACCTGAATAGTATCCAGGTCCCTAGTCTGATAATTAAAGAATGGCTTCCCCAAAACTCCCCAAATACTGCAATATTTCTTTGCTTTCATGACCCAGCAGTAGTCTGAGAAACTTTGGAATCATTTATTTAAAAGAACTAAAGCACAAAGGCCTCTCGAGCTAACAGACAAGGTAACAGAAGGCAGTTGGCTGACCTCAGACCACTACCAGGTGACATGAATGTGTTCTGTGGACTGTGGGGACCTGTGAGGCAGCAGAGGGAATCTAATAGGGGATATCAGACTGTGGAGAAGAGCCAATTTTTTTGCTTCCTTACTTATAAGATAAAACGATTGGACTATTGCTGAGTGATTGCTAAGCTCCTGACCTTTAATGTTGTTTATTCAAAATTGTATTTTTACTTTTTTCATAAGAGTTTTATCCAATTAATTGACAGACTTGTGTAAAATGCCATTTTAGAACTGTTATTGATAATCTTGGTCTGTAGCTTTCAAAATATACTTTAAAAATCATAGCCACAGGTCTCAAGCTTCTGCTCATTATATAATACCATTGCTAATGTGAGAGGTCTTCAAGCATATTTGTTATAGTTCTCTCTTTGGGTATTGTCATATTTTCCTTTAAAAAAAGTTCATCAGTAACATCTAAGTGATAGTACTTTTTATATTAAAATTAGTAAATAAAGTTGAGGAAAGCTATATTGTTTTACTCTCCTAATCATTGTTTTATAAAGTTCTTCAGCTTATAGTTTTGTCGTTGGTTTTAATATGTCTTTTATGAGAATTTGTTTTATACTCGTTCAGTTTATCCATAGATTCAGGTGACTGTATCAACAATTGTGCAGTTTTCTTTGTGAAAACACAAACTTTTTCCATTTATCTGATGGGTGGAGAGATTGGAAAAGCTTAAGCAAAGAGAAAATTTCTTTTATTTTTAGGGATAACATGTAATATTATTCCAGCTTGGA